AGAAGAAGGTGAAGTGAGCGTGAGCCATTTTCGGTACATTAATTTATTTCTAGACAGCTTTATGAAAACGTGTGTGTTTTATTGGAAGATGTGGCTGGACATTAATTTATTTACTGTATAGTACTTTTAATGTATTCTAGCACATTAACTTTTTGCTTTTCCATGACATATGCATGATTTATAGGCTTTTAATGCATTATGATGTAGCTTTTAATTTATTCCAGAGGAAAACTTGGTAGAAATTTGGTAGAACACACATTTATAGGCTTTTAAACTACAATGAGAAGTAGAAATTTAAAACTTTAAATCTAGATTTATTAATTATAACTTGTAATTTCATTAGTGAAATTGTGAAAATATATAAAAATAATATATTTATTATAACTTCTAGGCCACGGGGCCTAGGCGCTGGTCGAGCGCCTAGCGGGCGCCTAGCGGGCGCCTAGCGACTTCTAGAACATTGATATATAGCTACACCAAAAATACACACTAAAAACACATACATTTAATGAAATTCTGGACTGGCCGGGTTTCGAAACCATTTCGCAGCGAGTTGGCCATGCAGAGCCGGGTCGTGACCTCGGGCTCGCTGGCGAGCTGCGCATCAGGTGGACTCGCGCCGGCGCGGGATGGAGCTCGCTGGCGAGCTGCGGGTGGGTCTGCCTCGCGCCAGGGTTGCACACTCGCGAATGGGCGTCTGCTCACATCTGGGACTCGCGCGCTCACGACTGGACGCCCACAGCGGGTGCAGAGGATGTCTGTCTCGTGCCATGGTCACGTGCTCACGACCAGGCACTTGTTGGCGAGTGCAGACGCGACTGGTGCACGGGTACAAACTCGGTTATGGCCTAAGACGGATCGGGTGGCTCGAAAACATCTCGGGATGGCTCAACAATAGCTCTATCGACTTGGAAGACACATTTTCTCAAGCTGGCAATAATGGACATATTAAACACCAAAAGACAAGAAAAAAACGACAAAGCACAAAAACACAAAATGAGAGGAAAAAAATACACAACATACAATAAAATGGACCGATCAACACTAGAACGAATCTAAAAAGACTCGACTTAGGCACGAAAAACACGCAAAAAGTACGACAAAAACACAACAAACAATAGCTTTTTCCCATAGTGGTTCATCTAGGCTGGACACAACTTCCTTAATTGAATTCGGTTCACCGTCCAACATGTACATAACAAAATCAGGTCCAAACATTTTCCCTGTTAACCCTTTTACATCGTCTCAGTTCTTCATCTTTTTCTTTAGTAACATCCGGTACAGAACCACTAGCAGTTGCATACGTCCTTTTGTTAGAACTATATTCTGCCATTATTTTCAGAAGAAAATATTCTTAAAAAATATAGTATTTATCGACTCATTTGTGGTACCAATGATACTTCCACAATTTTAGATTTATGAACTAAAAAATCTATGTTCAATAATGTTGTAAGCATATCCAATAAAGTACAACCGAGAATTTTTGGTCGGATTCTCTTTTGTTTGGGTTCAAGAACTGAAACCTTAGCCAAACACCCTCACACTTTCAGGTATTTATAAGACGGCTTACGACTTTTCCACATTTCGTAAAGAGTCTAATTTTTCCCTTTAGGTGGTATTTTATTCAGGATATGATTTTCTGTTAAAACAACTTCTCCCCACATGTTTTGGGGTAATCCATAATTTGCCGACATGGTATTCATCATTTCTTTAATGGTTCGGTTCTTGCGTTCATCAACACCATTTGACTATGGAGAATAGAGCGACGTCGTTTGATGAATAATGCCATATTCAAAATATATTTGTTTAAAAGGAGCTACATACTCCCCACCCCTAGTACTTCGGATTACTTTAATCCTTATACTGAGTTGATTTTCAACTTTGGCCTTAAAAATTCTGAAACTCTCACACAACCTTGCCTTTGCTTCTTAACAAATATAACTAGCAAAACCTTATGCAATTATCGATAAAAGATATAAATACTTTTTAACCATTCTTGTTTGCATATTTTTTTTATCACATACATGATTAAGCCAAATGGTTCAATACTTCTTTCCATCAAGTGAAAAGGTAACTTAGTCATTTTGGTTTCAACACAAGTTTCACATTTTTTATGTGACTCATTTTAGAATTGAGAATTAATTCTAATATCGTCAACCGTTTAATGAAATTTAAATTTACATGTTCTAATCTAATATACAATAAATCAAAGCACTCAACGATATAAACAGAAGTAGGCTTTCCATTATCATTGGAAATAGTTGCACGACTCACAATCATTACATTCATTTTGAATAATTCTTTTTCGAGATAGCCACGAACAAGAAAAATTCTAAAATTACTAAGTACAAATTTCTTAGAATCAAACACTAGACTAAATCCATGCTCTACAAGAAGAATTCGGAGACCAAGTTCTTGCGGATGTCTGGGACATGCAGAATATCCTTAAGCTTTAACTCCTTTCCAGAAGTTAGCTTCAGCACCTTGGTACCAACTCCAGTCACATCAGACGAGGAGGAGTTGCCCATGTAGAGTTTTCAACTAGCAGAAATAGTACAGTCAGAAAACATCTCTTTGTCTTAACAAACAATGCGAGTAGCACCAATATCAATGTACCACTCCCTTGGGTTATCCACCACGTTGGCTTCAAACACCACAACCGACATATCAAAGTCGGTCAGTTCACCCGCTACAAGGCTGTATTCAGCAACGAGGGTATTCAGTTGCACCCTCTTTGGCTCACTCTTCTTTGTCTTCATGTAGTCTTTTGTCATATGGTTCAGCTTTCCACAGTCATGGCAGGTTCATACAAACTTCCAAACCTTGGCAGGTTGTTTCCCCTTGTTAAGGGGCTTTTTCTTGCTCATGTTGTATTGCTCTAGCAAGTTCGCCCGAGCCTCCACCACCGGGATTTTTCCCGAAGACGTACAGTTGTCCTCTTCAATGAGAAGACGAACCACCAGGTCTTCGGGTCTTCCTCTTATGTTTGAGGTAGTTTTTGGAGTCTTTCCAACCTGCGGCAACTTCTCAATCACAACCCCCACTTTGAACGATTCGCTCAGAGTCATTCCCTTAGCATGAATACCGTGCAAGATGAATTGAAACTCTTACACTTGAGATACAACGGTCTTTGAGTCGACCATCTTGAATTCAAGAAATTTGTCGACAACGAATTTCTTTGCCCCTGTATCCTAAGTATTGTACTTCTCCCAGGAAGCTCAAAGCTCCTTGATAGAACCAATCGAGGCGTACACATTGTACAACTCGTTGCTCAGTTTGTTCAGGATGTAATTCTGACAATGGTAATAACCTTGCCCCAGAAACATCGTACGCGATGCTTAGCTCAACATTTGTTTCATTTTCAGCCACGACC